TACCTAAACAAACAAAGTTTAAAATTTTACTTATTTTTCTTTCCTCAATAATATTATACATAATAATGAGACAGAATATTTTTTTTATTCCTGATTTATGAACTTGTCAGTAATCATATATCTAATAAAATACCCAAGTTCTTCAAACAATTTTTCATGAAGTAGGAACTAAAGTAACAACAGTTCTTCAGCATTCTTTAAGAGCTAGATTTTTATTATCTAGAAAGATGTGTGGTTCATAAAAATAAGAATAAACAAGTTTTATAAAGAAAGGACTTGTATCTTGTAAGAATTAACAAGCAAACATACAGAGACATAACAGTAGGTTAATTTTGAGCAACACTACAAGTTTAAGAATAGTTTTACATATCACTCACTCTCACAGGTCTACTTTTTTATAATTGTGGTTATTAATAAGGAATGACAGTTTTCGTGTGGGAGATTGTGAGTTGCATCACATTTGCTTCTGATACAATAATTTTTATTTCATTCCATATATATATGACTTTACTTGCATACTCACCAGAACAAGATTTATCTGTAACACTCTTTAGTTTATACCGTTGCTTTACTCATCTTCCTTGTATGTTTGACTCACACAGTTTTATATGTGGTTTTTGAATTTATTTTATACAGAAAAAGTGAAAAAAGTTGATTTTGTTAAATTATTAGCAGCTTATATGATACTCTCAAATGCAGCATTATTTGCAGAACTATAAACATTGTTTACTGTGTAATACAATAAACATTAAATTTTCAGTTTCTTGCACAAAATACAATTCAACTTATTTTTTTTTAATGTTGTGGATTAAATTACAGCTTTAGTCACCATTTATATAAAAGAGTGTACTTCAAAAAATATAAAAAAATCTTTTGAGACAGAAAAATGAGTTAGAAATTGAAGAAGTAACAAAGATGTAGAAAAGTGTTCTTTGCTAATCCATTCTTCTTTAATTTGTAATTTTACAACTTTGTAATGTACTTAATTTTCACAGTTACACACACTATAGTTCACAACAATTCACTCACTTTCTATCGCGCTTAGACTTAATTGTCCGTCCCCGCAAACTATAGTTCCGATCTCTGTGTCTGCTATCCTCAGTTCCCGCCGACCGTAACCGCTGTCTTTCTTTCTCTCTGCCTGCTTCGTCTCCGCTACGTTTCTGTCTTTGTCTCCACTATTGCTTCGACTCCGTCTCCGTCTCTGCCTTCACTACTGCTTCGACTCAGTCTACGTCTCTGTCTCCACTACTAGCGCACTTATATACGATAATACTGCCTGTTCTAGAAACTTCTAAGACTCTCAACACGTGCTACCAGCGTCAATTGACGCAACGCTGTCGCAACACACTAGCGAATCTTCTAGAATATTCGTCACGTGACCCTGCTGTCGTAACACACTAGCGAATCTTCTAGAATACTCGTCACGTGACCCCCACTGTCGTAACACACTAGCGAATCTTCTAGAATACTCGTCACGTGACCCCCTCGTCAGCAATAGGGGTGATCCAGTACGAAGGAAGCCACAGGAATTCGATGGGAAGGCACCGTGGGAAGCATATAGAGCACAATATGAGCTACTGGCAGAGATGAATGGATGGACAGAGGAGCAGAAAGCAGTATATCTGGCAACGAGCTTGAAAGAACAAC